ACTATATTTGAGATAGGATTCGAGCCTAGCTTGATGAATATGTATAAATATAAAAAAAAAAAAAAACAACTTTTATAAAAATTGTAGTTTTTATATATCTGTTATGGTTTGAACCCGGACGACATCATTTTTAGTGTGCCAAGCTAATCCAGTTCCAATCCGGATTGTTTCTATCTGATATACTTTTATAGTTCAAGTAGGCTTGGACTTAAAAGTAATTCATTAATAAATTGATTTATATATATTTAGAGCGCGATAAAAATTTGATAATTTTCTTAGCTGAGATTCCGAGTTCTTGTTATTCGATATGTGTACCACTGTGCTGGGCGCTTGCTCACGTAGGCGATAGTCACGGTAACAATAACAGCAACGATAACAAATTTGATGGTGCCTTGCCTCTATTTCTATTTATTTAAGCGCTGCACGTGCAGCACCAGGCAGCAGCAGCAAAACTGCAAAGTTGCAACTTGCAACTTGCTGGCTGCAAGTTATTTGCCGCTTGTTGCTGCAACAGTGGATATGGAAATGACTGCTCATATTGCATTCACACGCACCTCCTCGCCGCCCCCAGCTGAATTGAGCGACTGGATCTAATGGACAGGGCAACGTTTCAATTGCGATTGCCGCCGGGCTGTAATGCGGTGTTAATCAGCGTCATATATGCGCCGATTTGCTGATATGAAACTATGTTCAGAGTCCGAAAGCGGAGACTGATGGGCTCAGCAGATACCCTGTAGCAGAAAAGCACTTTCGGGAATACTTACATCTTTTTTTAATTTCAATTTATAGGGAATTTGTTTTTATATCTCTATATATTTTTAAGAGTCGCTCTGTAAAGACTATATTAAAATCTTATTAATCTAAAATCTCTAATGATTTCAAAATAATCAAATAATAAAAAATTTACGGTGTATGGAATATGGGGTTTGACCCCTATATAAATAATTGTTATATATGTCGGATATTTCTGCAGATTAGATAATTTTGTGGAGTGCAGCGTGTTCCTGCACTGTT